CAGTTTTATTGACTTGTTTACGTTTTGATGACCCTTCCACGAGAGAACAACGAAAAGCGGTAAATCCACTAGCACCAATTCAAGAACTATTTGAATCTTTTACTCAAAACTGTCAAACGGAGTTTTCTGTTGGTGAATATATATGCATTGATGAAATGTTAGTTGGTTTCCGGGGTAGATCACTCTTTAGAATGTATATTCCAAACAAACCACGAAAATATGGACTTAAAATTATGATATTAACAGATGCAAGAAACAACTATGTGTACAATGCGTATGTATATACAGGCCAAGATTCCGACGAAATGGGCCTTTCAGTAACTGAGAAAAAGCTTGCTAAACCTACTCAATCTGTGTTACGGCTTTCTAAGCCATTATTTGGCAGTAATCGTAATGTGACAGCTGACAATTGGTTCACGTCTATAGAACTAGTTCAGTTGTTGAAATCTAATGGCCTAACATATGTGGGAACTATGAAAAAGGTTAAAAGACATATTCCTCCTGAGTTTCTTCCTCAAAGCCATAGAGAGATTGGTTCAGTTAGATACGGTTTTACAAAAGACATTACCCTTCTTTCGTATGTTTCTAAAAAAAAACAAAGCCGTCATACCAGTGGCGGCTTTTCTTTATGTGCTGCTGAGCTGCAGAACTACCAAACAACCATAGCAAATCTTAATTATTAAAGAATAATTAATATAGTTTTATTTCAAATCTGCCATATTATCATATTAAACATAAACTGTTAATAATAATTCACCAACAACGATGATTAATATTATTTTTTTTACGTATTTACTCCTCTAGTGAAACCGTATAATTTTTTTACGTATTTGGTGCTCCAGTGAAGCAATCTTTTTACGTATTTGCTGCTCCAGTGAAGCTGCGTCGATAACAACCGAAACACTGGCAGCGGTAAAATGCATTTATTAGGCAAACGGCGATCTTAGCCGATGTGCTTCGGCAATCGGCTGATTAACGGCCTCGGAAATGTGTTTGCGAGCTGCAATTCACGACAGTTATTCGTGACCGTTGCATCTGTGCCGTGTTTAGAAATTCTTAGGTTACAATTTTGTTTAATTTGTTTTGTTCGAGCGTGTTTAAAACAATGGAGTTTCAATTTAAATTAGGTGTAAATAAATTTCAAAAACTTCACTATCAACAACAGTTGATTATAAAAGAACGTGGCCGTCCTATGCCTGATCTTAATATTGAAGTGTCCGGTAAAAGCCGTGGAAAAACATATACGCGTAAATTTAATAAAGACATGTATCTACGAAATCAGTGGATTTGTGGATGTTCCGAAAAAAATGCTTTTTTCTGTTTTCCGTGTGCATTATTCGGCGCAGATAAAGAGGAAAAATTGTGGCGCGAGACAGGAGTGCGGGATCTAGTGCATTTAAGTGAAAAAATAAAGAAGCATGAAAACACGCAAACTCATATGAACAATGAAATGCGATTTGCATTATTTGGGAAACTTAATATACAGGCCCAACTTGACTCTGCTTATTGGATAAATATACAAAAACACAATGAAGAGGTGACGAAAAACAGGTATGTTTTGTCAAAAATAATTGACTGTATAAAATTCTGTGGGGCTTTTGAGCTCGCCTTACGAGGACACGATGAATCTGAAACATCAGATAACCCTGGAATTTTTCGTGGTTTAGTGAATTTTTCTGCTGAACTTGATAAAACACTTAGTGAACACCTTACAAATGCGACAATTTTCAAAGGTACCTCAAAAACAATACAAAATGATATTTTGGATTGCATGCTAGAAGTATACGCTGAGGAGATTTTAAATGAAATCAATGAAGCCCCATTTTTAGCAGTGATAGCTGATGAGACAACGGATGTTTCTATGAAATTTCAAATGGTCATTGTTTTTCGTTATGTAAAAAACGGTGCTCCAGTTGAAAGGTTTTGGACTTTTTTGCTTCCAGAAAAACATGATGCTGAAACCTTAGCTAACACAATTTTGAATGTTTTAGACCCAATATTAAAGAATAACAAAAATAAGCTCATTGCACAAAGTTATGACGGAGCAGCTGTTATGAGTGGGATACATGGCGGAGTGCAAACAATAATTAAGAGAAAATATGAAACTGCTCATTTTGTGCACTGTTACGCCCATCAATTGAATCTAATCATGTCAAGAGCATGTTCTATTAATTCCCAAGTACGCGTATTTTTTGGAGATTTACATGATATACCTGGATTTTTTAGTCATTCACCTCAAAGAATAGCTGTCTTAAATCAAATAGTTGGAAAAAATATTCCTCGTTCAATCCCTACACGCTGGAATTTCAATATTCGTACAGTAAATGTCGTTTACGAATATAGAGACTTTATTATTGAGTGTATGGAGCAACTAGAAGAAGAGTCAAATGCTATTACTTCCAAGGAAGCAAGAGGACTTAGACGTATTCTGGAAGATCAAAATTTTACTTTCTGGCTGACTGTTTTTCATTATATTATGCCACATGTTGACGTTTTGTACAATAATCTTCAAAAAAAGAACATGGACCCAACCGAAGCACAGAAAGCTATACATGTTTTTGAGCAAAGTATTAACAATGTCCGAAATAAAATAGACCCTATCATACATCAAGCTTCAAATTTAAATGCGGCGCCTAGTGTCCAAAAAAGGAAACGCCCAAATAACAGCCAACAGGATCACCGTATTGCCTGTCTAGAAGTTTGTGATGTTATTATAAACAATGCAAAAGAACGGTTTGCATATACAAATCATCTAGTTGCCGCAACACTTTTATCTTCAGAACATTTCGAAAAATATAATAATAAGTTTCCTGAAAATGAATTGGATTTAACTTGTACAGCTTATAACTTCTTTGATAAAAACCGTTTGCGAACAGAACTGTCAGTTTTGTATTCCAATATCGAGTGTAGAACATTAAAAGGTGCAGTGCCTTTACTAAAATTTATAATTTCTAATAATTTAGAGGACACATTAACAGAAACCAAAAAGTTGATACAAATTCTGGTGACTACGCCAATGACCACAGCAGAAGCTGAACGTAGTTTTTCAACTTTAAAACGGATCAAAACATTTTTAAGAAATTCAATGTGCGAAGACAGATTAACAGCCCTTTCCACACTCTCGATAGAAAAAAAGTTCATCGCTTCAATACCGAACTTTAACGATAAAGTAATCGAAAAGTTTGCGACAAAAAAGGACCGGCGTATTAATTTCCAATTTAGAAAAATGCAATAAATGTAAGTTAATCAGATTTTTATAGCATGTCGTTATTAGTTACTATTAATTAGTATTAAAGCTAATTTTATTGTTTTTGTTTTCGTATGTTATTCTATTTCTATTATTTTATATTGACCGTGGTTCATGCAGCACACCCTATAGCAGATGTCACGAGCCGCCACTGCGTCATACTATTATCCTCCATGCATCATACTATAGCCATAGATGAAAAAACACAAAAACCAGAAATAATTAGTCTGTATAATATGACGAAAGGCGGCGTTGATGCTTTGGATGAAAAATGTACGGTTTACAGTTCGTCCAGAAGAACGCAACGTTGGCCAATGGCTATATTTTACAAAGTACTAGATATGAGTACAGTTAACGCTTTCGTTATGTATCAGTGTTATAGAGAATCCAAACCCTTAGACAGGAAAGATTTTATGAAGGTACTGGCTAAAAGCTTAATTGAAGCACACATGAAATAACGAATGTATAACAGCAGAATCCCGACAGAAATAAGAGAAAACATAAAGCGAATACTGTGCGTGGTTGAACCACCTTCTATTCAAGAAATCGGTTAGCAGTTCGAAAGTATTGCAACATTTGTCCATCAAAACTTCATAGGAAGACATCTTATTTATGCGTCTGTTGTAAAAAACCAATTTGCTTGATTTGTTCTCATAAAATATGCAGAAACTGTAACGTCCAAAAAGAATAAAAAAAAATAATCCCATTTTTTTGTCCTTATTTACCCCCTGCACGTTCCGTTACGTTTAGACTACTGATGATAATTTTTATTACCATAGATTATTCAATATTTGTTATACCTAATATTAAAACCATTTGTACATACCAAATTTAGAAATATTAAAAAAAATTAAGTTTTCCGACGTAACACCGTACTTTATTTATTTGCAACTTTTGACAAAAATGTTCATAATAAGAATAGTCAGTAACAGAAGGAACTAAAAAGGCAATAGGATATTGCAAAAATGCCTAAAGAACAGATTATTATAAACAATGTGATAAAATAATTATTTAAATTTGAATGAGACCAGCATATTTATGATGAGTCCCGGAGACTCCACGTCACCGGTTATGTTCCTAAAATCGGACGTCACCGGTTACGGGTTAATACATTTTATTTCATTCATTTAATTGGCTCATTAGTTTTTGTGACAGTCTAAAAACATTTATTATTTAACAATATGTACACATTTCAAAACTTTTCAATCTTCTACACACGGCATCAGATAGGGTTAATGGTTCAATATTAAATAAAAAAATATTGGAGACATTCTAAATTTGGTTACTTGAGTGTTATTTCAGTGTATAAAACAATAACCGAGATAAATATGTTACGGTTCTCTCCGTAATATCACTGAGCCTTTGGATTCTAATATAAAGTCTAATTAGAATAACGTACCTTGCTAACAACTACCATTTTGTAATTTTAAGGAAAATGGGTTACCATAATAGTGAGACCTAATATCTCCAAAACTGTTCAGTTTTTGAAGGGTGTAGTAGATCAATGGTTTCAGCACGTTTAAAAAAAAAACTACACTATTAGGCACGAAGTAAACCAAGGGAAAATATTAGTTTAATCTTTTATGTGCTGACGAAGTAATTCTGATATCTGATATAAATATAAGAGATTCTACTCCACAATCAAAACGCTAGAGCCACTAGAGAATTAAAAATTATTTCAGATCATTGATCTATGTCATGCAGGTTTCAGCCTTATACATTTTGATACAATTAATCAAAAGATTTAAGTGTGTCAACTATTAAAAATTGTACGATTAACAAACTCTAAATTCTCAGATTTCATGGTGATGTTCACATTGCAACAGTCAATTTCCATGGGCAGTTTAAAATCCAAGACGATGAAAGTTATTGTCAGTGCTCCTAAAGTTACCAGACAGATATACCACAAATCGTTCTCTAATTTTGTTTCTCTGATATTCCGCAAAATGTTAACTCCAAATAACAACCCAACCACAGCACCGCCTGCGTGGCTCAAGTAGCTGGTCTCGTCTCCAACTTCAGTATGACCAAATATCTTGTAGAATACGTCAATGACGACGACTACTCCGAAGACGAGTACGTGGACTATTGGATGCGTCCATTCCCTCCAATTCTGGAAATAAACATTAAAATATCAGAATATATTGACAGCCAATTTAAAACGCAAAATATCTTCTTTCTACTGGCAAATAATATATTTAAAATTAAATGAGTAAGGTGAAAGGTTCTCGGTCTAACTACTAGGTGGCACTACTATAAATGCAATTACAGTTCAGTAGCTAAATCACTAGTGAATATATATTTGACCAGACCAATAATTTGTTTTATATTCTTGGATATAAATCATGATACTTAATTACTATTCCATATTCCATATAAAGTATTTTAACATTGTGCCTCGTTAATCTTGTGAATACTTACCAAAATAACTGCAGCAATGTGAGCAGTAAAGAATGAAAATACTCCACCACTCCCTCCAACCAAAGTTGTTGATCTATCAAGCACAGAATGAGTTAAACAGCCTCCAAAAGCACCTGCCACATAAATCACGACCACCCTCCAACTGTGAACCATCTCTAAGGGTACTCCAATGAGAATCTGTATGACTATGTTACCATACAGATGCATGTTGCTAAAAAAGAAAAATATATAAGCTAATTGGCATACAAAATAATAGGTTGTTGATATATTTCGATATCCAGATACATAGCCGATTTCTGTGATCTGGTAAATCCATCTAATTGGGATTTTCCTTGTTGTTTTCGGTCTTATACCTCCCATTGAATTATGAGTCCTTTAATGGGGAGTTCGACAGGATACTTAAAACTTTACTGCACCGCTCATGCTCTCGTTGGACCTCTCTCGGTCTGTGCTCGGCAGTATGCCGAACTAAGAGAAGCTCGGGAATGTCACTACTGCACAAGCCACGCATGTCAGCAAAAGAATAATGTAACTTTCTTCTTCTTCTTCTTCCTTCTTGTATGTAGGCTTTAAAACCTGTTTCTTCTTCAATATTAGCCTCCTAAATTGTTTAAATTGTCGCACCATCTTTTTCTTGGTCTGCCAATACTTCGTCTATTTGCTGACTTATCTCGTGCTATTCGTACTATTCTATCCTCTGCCATTCTACTGATGTGCTCGTTCCACTCCTGCTTTCGTTTTGTCACCTATCCATTTATGTCTTCTATATTGCATGCTCTTCTTATGTTTTTGCTTCTTTCCCTATCCAAGAGACTTTTCCCTGATATTCGTCGGAGTATTTTCATCTCTGTTGTTTCTAGCAGTATTCTTTCTTCTGTTTGTTCTTCCAGATTATGTCATTAAGAGATCCCGCCACTTTACTTGCTTTTAAGCTTCGTTGTCGTACTTCTTCTTCGACATCTCCGTAACTAGTTATATCTTTTCCCAGATATCTAAACCTTGCTTCTTGCTTTATTATTTTCCCATCAATTTCGATTTTACACCGTAGTGGGTATTTAGATCTTGTCATACATTTGGTTTTTTCTGCTGATATTATCATATTTTATTTCTTATAGCGGCTTCCCACGGTCGGCGATATTGCAGACGTAAGCGGACCAGCCCGCACCACGCACCGTGGGAAAGGTCTCATCCGTGGTAGCACAGACACGTCCGTTCTGGTGCGTCCTATCCATCTAGAGTCGGTAACATCAAAGGTGCGGTATATGCTCGTGCTCGCGATCCTAGCGCGTCTGTGTTTTAACAGACAACTGCAAGTCAGAAGTTTTTCATTCGCTGACACGAGTAGTTGTCTGTAGTGTTGTCAAAGTTGTTTTGCAGTTTTTTGCTAAAAAATGGAATGGACAAACGAAGTTATTATGCACCAGAGCATAAGAAACGGAACCGATATAATACGATGTACCGAATAAAAAATCAATTGAAGAATAGTACTATTTCGATTAAAGAATTAAAAAAGAAGAGAAATAATTTAATGCCGACATACAAAAGGCAAAAAACAAAAGTTGGAGAATCGATGGGAACTGGAAGTGGCGCTGATGATGTTTACAAGCCTGAGTGGCCTTTTTATGATATAATCAAACAATACTGTCACGGACCTACACAGACTGTCACGGACCGTAGGAAGAGCTCTGTCTGCGGTGCGTTGTCGTCCGTGCTGATCGGCTGTCCGCGATGATCTGTAGAATCGCCGATCGTGGGAAGCCACTATTAGCTGTTATATTGAAGATATATGTTAATCTTTGGAGATCGTCTTCTGCCTCGGCGATTAATGCGGCGTCGTCAGCATAACATAATATTTGGATTTCTTTGTTCGCAATACTGTAATGAGTCACCCTGTCTGACTCCGCTTTGTGCTGGTACACACTGTTAGTTTTCCATTTATCTTTGCCTGTATTTGATTATGGATATAGCTGTTTTCGATGGTTTGTATAAGATTGATTGGTATGTTTCTTTTATACAGTAGGTGTAAGACGTTTTCGACTTGATACGATTGAAAGCCTTTGTCAGATCTATAAAACATAGATATGCTGGTTTATTGTACTCGATGGCCTTTTCTGTAATTTGTCTTAGTACAAATACCATGTCAGGATCTTCCGGATCTGAATCCTTGTTGTTCATCTGATAAAGTTGTTACTTTATTGATTTTGTTGGTTGGGACTTTTGTGGCAAGCTTAAGTGCGGTGTTCGGTAGATTTATACCTCTATAATTGTTGGTGTCTTCTTTATCTCCTTTCTTAAACATTGATATCATTGTGCTGTTTCTCCTTATGACTGGTATCTTGCAGTGCAAGATTAGTTTTTGTATAAGTTTTGTCACCTCTGGGGTTGTACTTTCTCCTCCGTGTTTTAGAAGCTCGTTGGTTATTCTGTGTGGTCCTGGTGACTTTCTGATTTCTATTTCGTGTTTTAATTCAGTTACGTTATTGTATTGATTATTATTTTCCTTTGCTTTAAACATTTCCGTCATATATCTTTTCCATTCGTTTGCTGAAATTCGTTTTCCATTTGTTATGAATCTCCATATTTGTTTTTGTGTACCGTAGTCGCTTTTCATGCTTTTTGTAAACTGTTCCCAATGTTTATTTTTTGTTCTTCTTACCAACAACTTTGTTTCAATTCGTATTCTTCTATAGTTGTCTCGGGATTCTGGGGTTTTTGATGTTTTGTACTTCATATAGGCCTCTAGTTTCTCTTTACATTTCTCTTTTATTTATTTTCTTAACCATGGTGTATTGTTGTTTCTTTTGTTCAGTATGACTTTGCATTTTCCTAGAGATTCTGTTGCAGTTTCTTCAATGTTGTTTTTAATTTTCTCCCAGTTCGCTTTAATATCTTCGATGTCGTCTATTTGTTTCAGCTGTATCTTCTGTTCTAGCCTCTTTTGATACATTTCTCTTGTAGAGTCGTTCCATAGTGATTCTACATTCAATTTTTCCTCGGTGATTTCCTGTAGAAAATTTTGTTTTGGTGTTATTTTCATTCATTGAATAATGAAACCTGGGTGTTAAATAATACTCGGAGTTAAGCCGTTCTTAGCTTCCGCTCGATTATGCTTACCTCACAGAATTACCGACCACAACTGAATACAAAGAGTCATCTTCCACGAAAAAGACTGATGGGTCTGAGAAAACCTGAGAAGACCACGACGGATTTGGGATGAGATTTCTGATAGTTATGTAGTGATATATTATTTTAATCTCAACTGATACTTACTCAGCATGCAACAGTAAATAAGTGAAGTATCTGTACACCTGCCTCTTCTTGCAAGGATGGAATCGTAATGCATTTGATAAGACATTTGGCCTCTTATACGTCGAATTTGCATAGAAACAGATTAGTTGAATAATGGATAATACAGCCATTCCAAGAATATTCGCTCTGCATTTGAACTGTCGTTCGTAGGCTCCAGTGAAGGTGATGGTCCGCTGTAGCTGTGGTGTATTTCTATTTTTCGGAGGGAGGACGACGAATTTTAATATTCTAAAATATAAAATTAATTATACTATTTGCTATTTTTTTTTTCAATTTTTTACTGGCTTAAACACCAATGATTGGCAACAGTCTTTTCATTTGCGTTTATAATTTCAATTTTGAGTGTATCCATTTTAAAATTCACTAGATTTATCGCACATAAATAAATATAGATTCTGATGGCGATTATAAAAGAAATTATGATGAGGGAGGTCAATTATTGCTAGTTCAAAACATAGCCGCGTCTGATCCAGATTGGGTTGCTGCAAACATAGTCAATTCTCGATGTTAAGACAAGCTGAAGTTTACACTCACCAAGACGTCTGATCAACGGAGTGATTTACGGCTAAATCCTCTCGTGATCACAAGCAAGTAAACGCCCCCTGGCCTAGTATCTAGTGGCTCAAGCAACCCTGGTCAAGTCAGCAGCCAAAAAGTACTCGAGTAGGGGGTACTAAGAATACCTCATACCAAGAATCAGGCTGCTAACTTTATATAGCACCTTACAAGGCAAAGTTCATACCTAATGAAAACGGATTAGGGAAACTTATTACTATTACTGGAAATTAGTATAACAATTAAGTTGAGCTGGACAGCATGTGCTGGTCTCTACAAACCTTAACTAAATATGAGAATTCCCAACTAAACTACAAGTACACCAGAGAGCTATAGAAAAAATGGATTAGGCAACGGACACAAGTCGAAGGCATTATACAAATAGTAGGTATGTTTCTCAAAATGGAACTGAGCTGGACATGTGGCTAGAAGTCAATAAAGCTGGAGTGGAAATATGACAAGATGGAGACCATGGAGGAAATGAAGAAGCTTAGAAAGATCGGAACAAAGATGGTACGACGACTTAAAAAACGGCTAGCCTAGAACAGAGAAAACTGTATGGACTGAAAAAGAAGGAGAAGAACAAGGTCTAATACAAATCCAAAACGTAATCCAATTATTGAAACTGTAGTTGGGAGATTTTGAGATTTTTAAAGTAGTAGTTTTAACTAAAAAAATGATAAAAGTAGGACATTTTGATGTCCTATTGACTACAACTATTAATAAATAATCTTAAGACGTTATATTCTAGAATTTGTAACATTTGTTAAGGCTTGAAAGGCTTTGTTCCATTCGGTCATAGAATAGAAAGGTAGAGATATTTTAAAACTAAGATTTTTTCGATTATATACTTGCTCTCGACATGTTCAAGTCCGTTAAAACTTCTTAACAGGTTTAGATTTGACAACTGACAATTGACATGTCATAGTTTGTAGTCTTAGAGTAGGGAATTTTACACGTCAAACGTGTTGACGTGTAAAATTCCCTACTCTGTTTTCAGTGGATATATAAATTATCAAATAATGTTGAATCCGGTAGGTTTTTTACTGATTTAATATAAAAAACAATACGCAAATAACTTATTTTATTCAAAAAATTATTTTAATCTGTCAGAATTCAAAATATGAAAGCTTCGTATTTATTTTCAAATACCGACGTTATAGTATATAATACAAAATGCTTACTTATTTGCAACGTTATAAAACGTTTCTTTAAAAGTCCTATTTGTAAAGAGTTCCAAGAATTCAACGAAGTCTAGTTGCCGATCTTTGTTCGTGTCGAACTTCGTATAAATACTTTCTAATACATCATCTGGAATCTCAACCTCTTCCTGCATTTCTAAAAATTTTCTCAGTTCGTTGACGCTTACCAGACCATCTTTATCCGTATCACACTGAAATAAAAGAAATTTTATGTAAATATAATCCAAAAATGGAATGAAATTGTAAGAAATTTAATTGGAGTTTTTTTTTGCATTAGGAGTGGATTTATACAGCCAAAAATACTGTTACAAACTTATTGTAATAGGTATATTGATTAGGCTGGACAGTACTGCTAGATATTTGTAGAGTATTTAATTAGCAAATAAACAATGTTAGTAATAGTAATCATTATGATTTAAATACAAAGGAAAGTTCCTGTAGCTGGCTGTATACCATGTATCACAAAAAATTTATTAAAATCCTTATAAAAATAAATTATAAAAGGTATCCATATGCCATTATCAGTGTCTAGGTGTCATATTTTGAGCCACTAAATATTTGGGTGAAAACCCGTTAAAAGTTATTGGTTTAAATTTATGTTACATTATTCGATCTTATATGTTAAGATGTTAAAGTTACCAGTGGATTTGATAAAATGGCAATCAATATGATCGCCTACGTTCGATAATCGGACAGGGTACTGAAAAAAGAAGATATATATATATATATATATATATATATATATATATATATATATATATATATATAAGAGTAAGAAAAAAGAAGTACTTGTGACTCGTTTGGAAAAAATATAACACTGTTTTTGATGGGTTGGAGTCAATAAAAGGGGCTATTTGTTGACTATTTTTTACTCGAGCTTTCAATTGTGATTACAATTTTTATCAAGAGCTTCTAAAAAATACAAAATGTCTTACAAAGTTGAACTAGAAATAAAAAATTTTTTTGTTAACTCACCAAATAAAATTAGTTTTTTATATAAAACTACTGCTTACATAATAAATACAAAAAATATTAATAAAAAAATGTCTTATTCTAACAAATGTTTCTCTGAAAAATTTAGATGAAGTTTCTTAAGAAAAAAAATTGAAATTATAAACAAAAATAGAATAGCTACAACCAGCCTAAAATGTCATAAATACTAACTTAAAAATTTTTATTTTTGACATATTGTCAAAAATAAAATTTTGTTTAAAAAATTCTTCTTTGTTTAGTAACAAAGAAGAAGAAGATATATTCACCATTGATAGATGCCCGGAAAAATGTAACAAATACATGGAAAATTCAAAATGTGATATTTTACTGACTGCATAAATTAAATAGAAATTATATAATTATAAATTTTGCTTAAATTTTGAATTTCTGACCTTTTGTTTAAATTATTATCACTTTTGCTAATACAAACCATTTCCAAAAAAGTTCTTTTAAATTTATTACTTTCATTACATAAAATTTTAATATTATCAAAATCCATAATATGGTCTTTGTCTATTACATGATCTGCCAAAGCACAAGATGGTTTCTTAATTCTACAATCACTCTTGTGAGAAATAATGCGATTAGAGAGATTTCTTCCAGTCTCACCAATATACTCAGCTTCACACTGAGTACAAACAATGCTGTATACTACATTTGTTTGATCTAATTTGTCTATAGGATATTTAGTTTTGGAATATAAAGATGAAATAGTTTTGATGTTCTTTGTTGCTATTTTTATATTGTCAATAACCTTTAATGTTTGTATTAATTTAGGAGTTAATGATGGTATAAAAGGTAGTGAATGATAATATATGTTTTGATTGTTGGATACAGTGTTTTGAGATTTATCAAAAAATGGTGTTAAGTTATTTATATTTAATAAATTAGAAAAAAGCATCCTATTGTTACGATTTTAAATGTTATGGCATATAGAACTGTAAATATTTTATGACTAATTCTTTTTTATTGATTCTCGTAATTTGTAGGTCAAAATATACCTGAGCTTAGCTACCAGTTGTTTACCAGAAATCTCTAGACACTAATTTTAGTGAGTCATCCACGTCTCGAGGTTGAAAAACGAGTCGAGCGCCTTCACCAAAATACGAGACTATTCAGGAAGTTTGCCGAATTCTCTAGATGACACAGTTGTGTATATAAATGAAAGATTTTTATTTGGCAGTCAGTGATAAGAAGCTCGGCAACCGCGATATTTAAATGTAACGAAACATAAATTATTATTTGTAATATAAATTAGAATTAATAAAGACTTTAATAAATTCGTAATTAGTTATCGTGAGTTTTAATAAATTAGATTATAGACAATAAAGTAGAATAAAGACAAATAAATTAGAACTATATAAACGGCACAGTGGTGCAGAAGTGGGATCGTAGATAAATTTAATTTGATTTTTGAAAAAGACTTTTGAACTTTTGAAAGGTATTGTTCGTCGGGAACATCCGCGTAGTTCAGTAGTGATCGTTGTACGAAAGAACATTTAAAAAGTACGTGTGTGCCTGACCAAAGATGCTGCTAGTAGAACTTTCAGTGAAACAGTTGCGTGAGCAACTAGAAGAACGCGATGAAGACTGCAGCGGGTCCAAGAAGATCCTCCAAGAACGACTGAAGACTGTTCTCAACAAGAATGGAGACGACCCAGAGACATTCCAGTTCCAGTCAGCAGAAGAAGCCGTTTTAACTAAAATAATTGATGGACAATTTGAGAATGTCTCGCAAATGATTGAAGAATCTTCTAAAAACACTGATGATAAATTCAAGAACGTTTCCAAAAGATTCGATGAAACGTCTCAAATGATCGAACAAACTTCTAAAAAAACTGATGAAAGACTCGAGGAAACGTCTCAAATTATTAAAGAAATAGCTAGACAAAATGACGAGAAATTTGAAAATGTTGCTAGAAGATTCGACGAGACTTCTCAAATAATTAAAGAAATATGTATTCAGAATAGTGAGAAGTTTGAAGAAGTCTCTAAAACATTTGATAAAGTTGAAGAGAAAATCAAACAGTTAGAGACCATGATAACTAACACGAGAGTGCTACCACCAATTAATACGGTAGCTTTAGATCCGGTAGAGATAAAAGAAGACGAGACGAAATGTAAGTTGGAAACGCGGCCGAAATTTGAAGGATGTGGAGTTTCTGTTCATGTTAAAGTTCCAACTTTCGACGGAAAATCATCATGGAACAACTACATGAAACAGTTCGAATCAGCTGCAAGAGCGAATGGATGGTCAGAAAAAGAAAAGGCTGTAAACCTGACTATCGCTCTTCGAGGAGATGCCTTAGATGTGCTCCAGACCATAGCCGTAGAGGAGACGGATGATTTCGAACAACTGAAGAAGAGGTTAAATATGCGATATGGCCACGAACACTTGGAGCATGTATATCAGTCGCAGCTCAAAAATCGAAGACAAAAGAAAGATGAGGCTCTTCAAGAATATGAAGTAGATATTGCCAGATTAGTGCGATATGCTTATCCAACAGCTCCCGAAGACATGATGGAAAAGTTGGCCGTTCAAACGTTTATTGATGGTCTTTGTGATCATGAGATGCAAAGAACACTACGATTAGCTCGTCACAAGACGCTGATGGATGTCTTATCTGCCGCCCTCGAATACGAGTCAGCTACGCAGGCCTCTGGCGGGTATAGCAAAGTTAGGACTGTAAAAGAGGAAGGAGATGAAGATAAACTTGACCAGCTCGTTAATATGATGAAAAGCATGACACACAAGAAAACGAAGACCATAAGACCGAAGACAAAACCAGAACGCGTCGGCCTTAGGGGAGCAGCTTCGACCGAGAACTCTACCAAAGACCCTCTGATACTAATAGCTTCTTTGAAATGTCGTGAAGATAGTGTCTATGTGGATGGAGAAATAAATGGTAAAAAGCATACGTTGTTGGTGGATACTGGAGCGACAAGAACCATTATTCGCCCGACAGTTATAAACAGCCGTAAGAAACTGTTACCAACGAGGTTGCGACTGCGGACCGCTACAGGTGAAAATGCCAACATCATCATCATCTTTGGCTCGACAATCCTCTGTGGATCTTGGCCTGCTCTAAGATTCGTCGCCATTCTGTTCGGTTTTTGGCAACATGTTGCCATCTTCTGATTTTTAATATTCGTAGGTCGGTTTCTACTCCATCTAACCACCTAATTCGCGGTCGGCCTTTGCTTCTTGTTCCTACAGGTGTTCCTGTGGTTAGCTTTTTAGCAATGGTATTTTCTGGCATTCGTATTATGTGTCCAGCCCATCTAAGTCGCTGTGTTTTAATGAACGTTATGACATCTGGCTCATCAAAGAGCTGATACAATTCAAAATTATATCTTCTGCGCCACTGCCCTTGGTCGTTTACAGCTCCAAATATTTTGCGGAGTATTTTACGCTCAAATATTCCCAAAAGTCTTTCATCTTTCTGCGTTAATGTCCATGTTTCTGCTCCATATGTGAGGACCGGCCTCAGCAATGTTTTGTATATAATAATTTTAGTTCTTCTTTGAATGTTTCTTGAGTGGAAATGCTTTTGGAGTCCATAGTATGCTCTATTTGTAAGATTTATTCGTCTTTTGATTTCTTCGCTTGTTTTATTGGTAGCAGTCAATAGCGACCCAAGGTATGTGAAGTTGTCAACACGTTCAAAGGTATGACTTCCAAAGACTGTTTCTCGTTCCTCATTTGCTGTCGGATCCTTTGTAACCAACATGTACTTGGTTTTGTCTTCGTTGATGACTAGACCGACTTGTTTCGCCGCTGTTTCCAATTCTAGGAGATATTGCTCAACATCTCGCTTGCTACGCCCTATTATGTCAATGTCATCAGCATATGCTAAGACTTGTATCGATCTATTGTAAATAGTACCGCCGTCCCTAATCCGTGTATCTCGGACTGCCTTTTCTAAGGCAATATTAAATAGGAGGCAAGCCAGAGCATCTCCTTGTCTGAGTCCATCCTTTATCTCAAAGGATCTAGAACTCTCTCCCTGTATTCTAACAGTGGCTTCTAAGTTAGACATTGTCATTCTCGTTAGTCGGATAAGTTTCTCTGGTATACCAAACTCATGCATTGATTGGTATAGCACTGTTCTCTTGACACTGTCATATGCTGCCTTGAAGTCGACGAATAGGTGATGGGTTTCAATATTGAATTCTAATGTTTTCTCGAGAATCTGTC